CCTCAATAACCTTTCAAAAATCGCACAAAAATGCCTTTTTTTAAATTTACTGGGGGGTTTACTACAAAAGGCTGCAAGTTCTTGGGGGTTTACTGTAATTTTCACAAAACTTATTGGAGGATTCTACAATTTATGAGTTGAACTAAGGAAGTACACAGCTCCAATGAACAATTGAAGTGCTTATGTTGGAGCTACCATTTTTAAAGTGAAAACATCACATCAAAATATTTCCCCAAGTTTTCCTCACAAAAGTGAATAAAATAAAATAAAATCCCAAACTCCAAGGGCCACTTGTAGAAAGAAATCACAGTGGACAAATCAACCAATCAATTCCAAATCTGTAGACTGCATCAATTAGTTATGGATGTTAAAGTCGCATTAGCAACGAGATATAAGCGGACGCATAAACAAAAGACCAAACAATCTTTAGTCAAAAAATTTTGGAGGCTGAATGTTTCAAAAATGTTGGAAAAAGGCTATTACTCCTGATATACTGCAGAGACTAGTCTTCCACGCTTCATCCTTCAAAAACCAAGAATGATTCAATTCCAAGTCACATGACATCTGCAAAATAATTTTCTAACTAGAGTGGATGAGCAAAGCTATGTCATAATATAGGATAGTTTTGTTGTTGCAAATAGAACCCCTTGTGAGCGACCGCCCTTAGGCTCTTCTTTCCTTCACCCACTAGACAACAGTAACGGAAGACCTCCCGAGGGAAAACGAGTCCAAAATTTCTCTTTCTCTGAGAATAGAAGAGTTAGAAAAAAAATCTCACTAAGGAGGTCTATCAGCAGCAATAGAACTGTAAGGATCTATCCGCAACTAATCCTAGTCTTTTAAGGTCTATCTGCAAAAATAAAACTATTGGGGGTCTATCCACAATTCGATGATGGTACAAGCGTCTATCTACAATTAACCCTAGTTTTTAAAGGTCTATCTGCGACAATAAGGGGTTGTTTGGTTAGTTTCCTACATATAGGAAAATACATTTCTATGTACAAAAACACAAGTTTTGAGTTTTCCAAATTTTTCCAAGAAATAGATTGTTTCGCTTT